GGGTGTCACCGGGAGCCCCGCGGTGTCACCGGGAGCCCCGCGGTGTCCCCAGCCCGGTTCCCGGGGTGGCCCCGGGATGGCCCCGGGTGGCCCCGGGTGGCCCCGGGTGGCCCCGGCTGTCCCTGCCCGGCTCTATCCCCTCCCCGTGTCCCCTCCCCGTTCGGGACCCGGCCCTGTCCCCTCAGGGCCCGCCACTGTCGCTGTCCCCTCCCCCTTAGAGACCCGGCCTGGCCCCGTCCCCTCCCTGAGGCACCGGCGGTGTCCCCAAATCCCCCAGGAACATCCAAAATATCCTTTGGAATATCCCAAATCCCCCAGGAACATCCAAAATATCACCTGGAATATCCTAAATATCCTCTGGAATATCCCAAATATCACCTGTAATATCCCAAATATCACCTGGAACATCCCAAATCCCCTCTGGAATATCCAAAATATCCTTTGGAACATCCAAAATATCCTCTGGAACATCCCAAATCCCCTCTGGAACATCCCAAATATCCTTTGGAATATCCCAAATCCCCCTGGAATATCCCAAATATCCTCTGGAATATCCCAAATATCCTCTGGAATATCCTAAATATCACCTGGAACATCCCAAATATCCTCTGGAACATCCCAAATCCCCCAGGAATATCCAAAATATCCTCTGGAATATTCTAAATACCCTCTGGAGTATTCCAGATATTGCCTGGAACATCCCAAATCCCTAAATACCCTCTGGAGTATTCCAGATATTGCCTGGAACATCCCAAATCCCCCAGGAATATCCAAAATATCATCTGGAACATCCCAAATCCCCCCTGGAACATCCCAGATCCTTCTGGAGTATCCCAAATCCCCCTGGAACGTCCCAAATCCCCCCTGGAACATCCCAAATCCCCCCTGGAACGTCCCAAATCCCCCTGGAACATCCCAAATCCCCCTGGAACATCCCAAATCCCCCTGGAACGTCCCAGATCCCCCTGGAACGTCCCAGATCCTTCTGGAACATCCCAGAATTCTGATTCCCGGCTCCTTCCCGCAGTGCTGGCTCCGGACGAGGATGACCTGGTGGCCATGGAAGTGACGTCCCCTCCTCCCATTCCCAAAAAAAGCTCCGGGAATTTGGTGCTGGAGCCGCCCCCGCCCCGCCTCGGGACCAAGCTCTCCCCGGAGCCCCCCGGCAGCAAAGCCGAGCCCCAGGATTCCAAAGGTTGGGATTTTCCCGGGATTCCCTCGGGAGGGGGCGGCTGGGGCCGTTCCCGGGGTTTTTTGGGAATTACCCGGGGAGTTCTCGGTTGGGAACGTCGGGAACCGGGGCTGGGAGGGGGAAAATGCCCCGGGATCGGCTCCCAACCTTCCCCAGCTCCTTCCTCTGCTCCTTCCCCTTCCCCTTCCTCTTCCTCTGCCTCTGGCAGCAGCTCCAGCCGCGTTTTTTCCCATTTTTCCCATTTTCCCCCGTTTTCCTCAGCCTGAGCGGGTGCGAGGTGTGCAGCTCCTGCTCCCATCCCAAACCGGGGCTGGGCTCGTTCAGGAACAGAACCCCAGGGATTCTCCATACCCAGCACCAAAAACACAATTAATATTCCCATTTTTTCCCGTTTTCCCCCCATTTCCCACAGCCCCCAGCCTGACCACGTGCAAGGTGTGCGGCTCCTGCTCCCATCCCAAACCGGGGCTGGCAGGAACCGATAATTCAGGGACAGATCCCGAGGGATTTTTAACCCAAACACCAAAACCACAGTTAATTTCCCCGTTTTTCCCCCGTTTCCCGCAGCCCCCAGCCTGACCACGTGCGAGGTGTGCGGCGCCTGTTTCGAGACGCGCAAGGGCCTCTCGAGCCACGCGCGCTCCCACCTGCGCCAGCTCGGCGTGGCCGAGTCCGAGAGCTCCGGCGCTCCCATCGACCTCCTGTACGAGCTGGTGCGGCACAAAGCCAAAGCCGACGGCAAATCCTCGTCCCCCAAAGAGCCGGCGGTGCCGGCGGCGCCGCGCCCGGAGCCGCCGCTCAACAAAGCCATCAAATCCCCGCCGGGTTTCGGCAAGGCGGCGCCGGGCTCGCCGGGGCTGCGCAAGG